TGTCGTTGTTTACCCCATCTACCTGAAAATGTCGGGTTCGAGGGTCCGTCGAAAAAAAAAACTTTATCATTCAGATCCAAACGAGTAAGCAGGTAGATGGTAAATAAAGACGTTTTAGTTATTACACGTCGACAACCAAAGGAACAAGGGTATTTCACCCGAAAATATGTGTTATAGTATCAACAAGTTTCATTTTTACTTATTGGTGTTGTGTGTGGATGTGGAAAAAACAATTAAAAGGACTAGTGTTAACTGTGGTGCTGTGAAAATACATATGTATGTACATAGTTAGCGTTGTTACGTCACATCGAAACTTTAAAAATCGAATGTCATTTTTCGGTAAGTTTATCACTTTTCGTTGATTTTTAAGCGACACGACGATACTTGAAAAAAATTTGATTCTTGTAAGTAAAATAAACACTTTTTTTTGTTGTATCAATTCTTTCATTAGGTACTGCTTGGCGGAAACACGCCATGTTTAAAATGTACATATGTACATATACAATGCTACTTGAAAGAATATATATAAATATATAATAAAAAAGAAAATAATATACATAAATAACATTCAAAAACTTGATACATTTACACAACCGCAGAGACATCGATAGTTCGTTATTCGACTATATTTTTTGTGGCCCTGAGAAGGGCCGTTTTGTTAATATGATGGTGTGGCCAAGTTGTAATTAAATTAAGCTTTTTTCTCGGTCTTCTTAGGTAACAAAACAGCTTGAATGTTCGGAAGTACACCTCCTTGAGCAATCGTCACTCCCGATAGTAATTTATTCAATTCNTTTGGGTGTCATTCTGGACTCTAAACTAACTTGGAAAAGTCACATCGAGGCCATGGCGAACCGGGCGAAGGTAGCTCTGGTCAATCTGTACGCTCTGATAAATCGCCGAAGTAAGTTGGATCCTCTCCGGAAGATTCGACTCTACAAAGCGGTTATCAGACCTGCGATGACATACGCTTCTTCAGTCTGGGGTTACGCCGCGCACTCGCACGTGCAAAAACTCCAAGTGGTTCAGAACAAGGTCCTAAGGATGGCATTCGATGCTCCTTGGTTTGTCAGTAATGCGACACTGCACAATGATTCCCAGATGGTGACCATCGAGGAATTCATTCGGAACAAAGCCAGTACCGAGTTTACGCGGCTCGAAGACCACCCAAATCCCCTCCTAGCGGGATTAACGGATTACGACGTTGAACACCTTCGCCATAAACGGCCAAGGCTGCTTCTCGTCTGACGATCCGGGAACCCGACTGTCCTTTCCAAATCCACTTCCGATATCGCTAATTTAGCGAATATTAACTAATATATTTTCCGTCTGTTTTAGATCCGATGAAGAGGGTTAAGGAAGATTCCAGGAACCTCAAGAGGCCCGTCAAGTTCACCGTTCACCGTTCATTTTTATAACACTGCATACTTACTGTAGTGTACTGTCGTTACTGTCGATAGTCTTATCACCGATAAATTTTATTAACTAATCAACGAACAACAACAATGCCACCGAAAACTAGTGGGAAAGCAGCCAAAAAGGCGGGTAAAGCGCAGAAAAATATATCGAAAACCGATAAGAAGAAGAAACGCAAGAGAAAGGAAAGCTACGCTATTTACATTTACAAGGTATTGAAACAAGTTCATCCCGATACCGGTATTTCGAGCAAAGCTATGAGTATAATGAACAGTTTTGTGAACGATATCTTCGAGAGGATAGCCGCTGAAGCATCCCGTTTGGCTCATTACAACAAAAGGTCAACGATCACCAGTCGAGAAATCCAGACTGCCGTCAGACTTCTGTTACCTGGAGAATTGGCAAAGCACGCTGTAAGCGAAGGCACCAAGGCTGTTACCAAGTACACAAGTTCCAAATAAATGGCAATATAAACATCCCTACCAAACAACGACCGGTTCTTTTCAGAACCAAAAATTATTATCTGAATAAAGTATTATCGCAATTTACAATATTTTTAAGTTAATAGTATTTTTAGTTAATTAAACTAAAACTAGAACTAATAGTAGCACTATCACTAGAACTAACACTAGGTCTAGAACTAGAAACTTTCGGGTTAAACAGTACGCTTTTGAAAAAATGTTTGACGTGTTGCAACCTTCTTCAGAAACAAGCTCGAAGTGTTTCGCTTCGAACTTGTTTCTGAAGAATTGTTTTTCTTAAATTAAATTTAGGAAAAAAAAATTAAGTGGATGATCATTCTACTACGTCCATAGATATGCTAAACCCAAAAATTTCAAAATGTCAAACTAATAACTTGGCAAAAATTCACCCACGCTTCTTCTTTTTACGATGTCTGGTGGTGATAAAGAGGAAGAATTTGAATCAACACGAAAATTTGTACTAATTAATAAATACATATGTATAAGTAAATGGGTGACAGCTATAGCTGGGAGGATAAAGGACGTAAGGATTGTTCCAGATTCCGTTACTGTAACAAACAAAATTAATACAAAATTAGCCTAAATAAAAAAACTAGTCTCTTGTAGAAAGAAACAAAAATAAAAAAATAAACACGCAACAAGTTATATATGTCAACCATTCTTCGTAAAAGTTACCATTAGAAAATGACCTGGAGTTAAAACATCGTAATTAGTAGACCCTACTAGTCAGAAAC